GTACAGTTACATATATGTACACATGTATATATGTATAGGTTATAATGCTCATCAGCAGATTCTCTTTACCCCTTTTGCTCGCTCCACTTTTTCGGTCAGCTTATATCGCTTATGTTAGCCGCCATATCAGCTTTGTTGTTGGTGATTGATATTGTCCGTCTGTTTGTTAAAGCTAATTTTTATTATCGATCTTTAATCGACTTAAATCGAAGGTATCGAAGCTGGAGCAATGAATAAGCATCAGTTGCGGAGAGTTGAAGTTTGAGCGCTTTGTTGTTGTTGTTGTAGTTGCTGTTAGATGTCGTCTTTTTATTTGCTTACTGTGCTTTATATCGCTATCTTAACTCATTCCACTGTTTTCAAATTTTTTCGATACATCTACGCTTGTATGTGTGGGTAAGTGGGTAAGCAAGTTAAATATTTGTTGTAATTACATATATATATGAAATTGTTTGTATGCTTGTACACAGTGTGTTTCATTCGGCAATCAATGTTAATGTACACACATATGTACATACCCACATATAGTTACATATATAGTCGGGCAGTTAAGTGATGAAACACGTTAAGTTTTCACTTTAATTTGGTTGTTTATTCGTTTTCATAATGACAAATATTCGCACGCTCAAACTACGATCTGATTATATACATATGAATATTATTTGTATGTATTTAAATTGGTTTTTATCGCTTTCGAATTGACTTGATGTGCGACACGCAGCGCGCAATTGCATACTTTACGGCTGAGCGCATTGAGCTGTTGCTTTCATTCGCTCACACTCATATATGCATTTAACTGTAATATACATTGTACATATGTATATAAATTTGTATGTATTTTTATTTTAAATAAATTAGCGTTAAATACACTGCATACAACTCTCCACATATGAACATTTATTATATATAAATATATTTTTTTAATGGTCTTTCACTTTATGATGCGGCTGCACTTCTTTGCTTCAGCATTTGTTGTTGGTTTTGTAATTCATTTATGCATTATTCAATTTAACATTCTGTTTTTGTTGCAGCCAAACAGCATCTCACTAAACGCATCAACGGCAACAGCAGCAGTGTTTGTTGTTGTAGTAGTAGTAGTAGATTATCTCATTCTCATTGGCTTAACGCAAATGTAATTAAATTTAATAAATTATTTTTTATTTTTTTTTGTTTAATAAAAAATTTTTTATTGATTAAAAGAATTTAAGTTTTACTATGAATGAATGAATGAATGAATGAATGAATGCTTAGGTGAATAAATGAATTCGTTCGAGAGCAAATTAAGTAGTAGAAAAGTTAAATGAAGGATGAAAGGTTGAGTGGGCGTGGCATTCGTTATTGTGAAAAATGTGACAATTAGAAACGTGAGAAGACTTATGAAATGAGAGCTGGCTGAGTTTTGTGATAAACAATACAAAAATTAAACAAAATAAATAATTATAAGTAGAAGAACAAGTGTTTAAGGCAGTGAAATTCTTTTGTGTAGATAAGTAGGTGAGTAGCATACAAATTTTGATGGCAAAATTTTGACAAAACAGTCACAAACTACACCAGCGGATGGTTCAAAATTTTAAAGATGTTAAGGAGTAAGAAAATATGAGCTATTAATAGTTATGAAAACTGAAAAAACAAACAAACAAAAAAGTGAGAAAAAAAATTAATTAAAAAGGAAAATTTAAAAAATTATAAAAGATTAAATAAAATCAATATTGCGAATATAATAAAATATATAAGTTATAATAAATTAAAAGTAAAAAAGAAAAACCTAAAAAAATGTAAAAAAATACAAAGAATATAAATTAAAAATAAATAATAAAAATATAAAATAATAAAAGATAAAAACGAAATAAAAAATTAAAAAGTAAAACTAAAAATAAAAAAGTACGAGAAATTAGCGATAATAAAATAGAACAGAAGTCAAAAATTAAAATAGTAAATAAAAACAAAAATTTAAAAAACAATAAAATATTAAAGATAAAAGAAATAAAAATTGAAAGTAAAAAAGTTTTTACAAAAAAACTAAAGCTAATAATGAAGTAAAAACTAAAAAGTCAAAAAAATTAATAATAAAACATAAAAGTTAAAAAATAATAAAATATACAAAGTTAAAGAAATCAATAGTAAAAAAATAAAAATCAAAAGTTAAAAGAAACAAACAGTAAATAAAGTAATAAACAGTAAAAAAATAAAAATCAAAAGTAAAAAATATTAGAAAAAATAAACTAAAAATAAATGATAAATATTTAAAAATAACTAGAAAACTAAAAAATAAACATGAAAAATTAAAAGGTTAAAAATAAGAAAAAGAAAATACAAAATTTAAAAGTAATAAAAAGTAAAAAAGTTATGAAAAACTAAAATTGAAAACTTGAGACCTCAAAACGAAAAATCAAAATTAAAAAATAGAAATAACAAAGCGAAATGTTAAAATAAGGGTAGTTAAATGTAAAAAGTTAGAAAAAACGAACAAAAAATATATAAAGGTGAAGATGTAAAAGAGAGAAAAAAAATTCAAGTGAAGATAAATAAAATAATAAAAAATAAAATAATAAAGAAGTAAACAAAAAATAATATTATTTTAAAATTAACAGTTTTATAAAAGAAAAAAAATCAGTAAAATAAATTAATGAATAAAAAAATAAATATTTTAAATAAAATATCAATAAAGCAGAAATTTGACTCTATTAAAATTGACATGAAGGTAATATAATAATAGAATAATAATAGGAATAACAGGTAACTAAAAATAAAATTTGATATAAAATTTAAGATGATAAATTGGTAAAAAGATAAATTAAAATAAGCAAGAAAAAAAATAAAGATAGGGAAAGACATAAAGTAAAAATTTGAAACTAATAACAATCAGAAGAAAAATCATTAAAGAAATATTAAGAAACAAATAAAAAAAACCAAAATAATAGAGCGAGTAATAAAAAAATGAAAATGAAAACATAATCTTAAAACTGAATTTCTCTAAGCAATATAGAAATGGCAAAATAAGAAATACGAAGAAAAATAAAAATAAAATAGTAAAAATTTAAATAAAATAAAAAAAACATTAAAAAATTTTGTTAAAAAAATAAACAAAAATATTATTGATAAAAAAAGATATGAAAAGAAAAATTTTGATAATGAGCTAAATTAATATGCAAACAGAAATAACAAAAACACAAAAAAAAAAATCCAAAAATTTTCACTCAGATATTGAAATTAAAATCACAAAAAATATTTTTTATTAATGAGCATAATTTAATTAAAGCAAACAATTTTAACTATAAAAAATTAATTTCAAATCATTCAAAATATAAACAAAATTCGACTAATTGGCGAAATTTGAAAGCATAAATAACATAAAAAAATTAAAAAACATTTCAAAAATAATTTAAGTGACTGCAGAAGCAAAAAAAAAAACAAAAGCAATAGAATTAAAAAAAAATTAATTGCTACAAAATTTTAACCAAAAATAGGAAATCTAAAAATTTTTACAATTATAAATAATAATAACATAAATATCTAATGTCTGTTTTGATTTTGATTACATTTTTTTTAAGTCTCCGCGGGTTATTGAAAAATTCTGAAAAATTTTTCATTGAAAATTAGTTTTAATCAAGTGCTACAACAGTAATTTCAAGTGCAATAACAGTAATTTCATCAGCGGCTTATCGGCGAATAGCTTAGTCAAATGATTTTCGGTGGCTCTTCGGTAAGCCAATATTATACCGTTAAGAGCCGGAAACCAATGTGAGTCATATAGTGCAAGTTCCACGCTACATGGTGAATACAAAAAAACTTCCAATCCAAGACCCGAAGACAAGTTTTGTCTGGTCAACACAAACACATCACCTTGCAATTAATCAAATCTGGAGGCTTCTTTTCATTCATATCGGAAAACCGTTCGGAGAGCTTGGCATTCCCTGCCGATAAGTGACAGGAAAGTAGAAAAATTAATTTTGGCAGTTGGTCGAACCCTTTTTGAAATGATACCCAATACCTTCGCTATCTCCTGACAGCTTAAATGCCAGTCTGGCTCCACTAATGGCAGAATTTCATTAGCTATTTGAGCTGATCGACGAGAACAAGGTGCTTTTTTAAATCGAAATTTCGGTATCGAAACCGAGAAAACCACTGATGTGGGCGCTCGTTAACTTACAGCATTTTCAGCATAAAGCTTAAATTCAAATATTTTTGCGGAAATTTCACTCATTATCAAATCAAAATCGCTTTTCACACGAATGACCACATACAGAAATGTCTTCACGGGAAATAATGTTTGAAAAATGAGCTTTCGAACATGTGCCAATCGGATTAGTGTTGCCCGCAATAACTGTATCAATAAATCTAGTGACAAAAAACCACGGAAACTTCTTTTATTGTTATATTGTTGTAATTTTTATTGTATATGTTTTTTTTTATAATTTTTTTGTACAAAATATTTCAATTTATTTTTACTGGTTTTTAACTTATGAATTTTACTTTTATTGCTTTATCAGTAATATGTAGGTATGTATAAAAAATATACGGAATTTAAATTCAAAAGGCATATTAAAAATAACAAACGAAAAATTAAAATAATAAAGAACAGTAAAAAATCAAAAATAAATTTTTAAATAACACAAAAAAATTAAAAGTATAAAATCTCAAAAGAAATTGGGAAACATATAAATTTGTGAGAAGCGTTAAATAAAAATAAAAAATAAAAATAATAAAAATTAAATTAAAATCTAAATTTCAAAATAAAAAGTTCCAAAAATGTCAACTGAAAATATAACAAAAAAAAATATTAAAAAAAACTTGCCAAAGTTTGCAATGTGAATTGTTAAGCAAAAACTAAGAAAATGTTAAATATTTGTGTTAAAAGAAGAAGAAAGAAACCAAAATGGATTGTTAAGGTTCTTTTTAAAAATTTGTTAATTTGTGTAATTTTAACTGGAGGTAGTTTTTACTAAATTCTTTTTTTTTTTTGTATCTCTTGCGCAAATATACCAAGGAAATTCACTTACCTAGCAAAACTTTTGAATGCCGCACTTTGCGGATTTATACAGAGCGGTACGCGACCCGTTTGCAGTTGTTCCGCGATGAATTTGTGCATTTCCTCTGTGTGAAAAGAGATAAGGGATTAAAAGAATTAGTTAAAATTTTAAAATTTTTAAATAGTATTTTTAGCGGATATAAATTAGTTTTGGACCGTTGCAAGTTGTGGCCGATCTTGGAAGCGATTAACTATTTGCTTGGAAATGTTTCACAACTGTCAGCAATAATTGGTGTACATTACCGTCTGTTTCTGACCACAACAATATTTTTTTTTCCCTACCAAAATGTCCGAACTTTGTCTTAAATTAACCGCCTTTGCGAGAAGTTTTGATTTCTTATATTTTAATTGATAAAAAAAAGCAGCTGTAGCGCATCGAAGGCTTGTGAAAGTGAGGGTTGTTTCAACGCTTCAAAAGTGATGATTTTAGCGCAGTAAACAGCCCAGCCAACCCAAAAAGTTTGAAGATCAGAAGGCATGCTCCTAAAATCAGGCGACCTATGGTATCGTTATTGTTATCGTGATCGACTACAACGAATGTCTTTGAGTCGTGCACTGCGTGAAAAGAGGTCAGGAACAGCCGAAAGGCAACATGATAACAATGGCTGTAAAGGTCGTAAACTACCGGAAATCTCTGAAATGGAACAAGCCCGTTGTTGTCTGTAAACCTTGCTCCCTCCCACTACTGGCTTTTTCGACGTATGCAAAACGTTTTGAGGGGTCACCGGTTCGGGTGTATTAAGGGGTAAAGCCACTCTGGGATTTTGGAAAACGTATTTTTTTTGCTAACTGGAAACCTTTGGGTCCTAGAAATGATATTCAATTGGTTTTAAGGTGAAAATATATTTAAAATACCTGAACTTCTCATTTTGCTGCAGCCCCACAGAGCGTGCGCTGAGTGCAATTAGAAACTTTAAACGCGTTTTTCTCAAAATCACATTTTTCAAATTGGAAGGACAGATTTTTCGGACCCTATTACATCGATTTATCTGAAATTTTGATGTTAACTTCACAAATATATATCTTTTTGGAAGTACATAGCCATTTTTCGATTTAATATTAACTGTTTTTCAATAATTTTGTGGGTATTTTTTAATTGAAAACCAATCTTTTGACGCCTTTCCAAAACCATGGATCAAATAATGGACTTTAACACCGCCATTTTTTTTTAACGAATTAACAATTAAAGAATATTTTTTTATACTTCAATTTATGTTCAATTAAATGGGTAAATAGAAATTCTATTCCTTTTGCCATATTTCCAAAAAGGACTCGGTGTTAAGAGTTGGTATTCGAAAACAACCAGGGAGATGGGAAAAGTGCTCGCCGACGGACAACACTTTGAATGATGTATTTCTACTTTTTCTCAATAAGAAACTTTTTTGAACAGCAAACGGCAGGCCGACCTCATTGGTGCACCCAAAAGTTCAATTATATTTCATTATAAAAAAAAATGTATCCCTAAATGAATTTGATTTTTATTTCAGCAATCGTCAGCAAATATACTTCGACAAAGACTAGGTTATCAAAAAACAAGAAAGAAGAACTGTCTTCGGTCATGCTAAAGTCTTTGATTCTTTGTCAATTTGTATATGTACATATCTACGTGTGAAGACCACCAAGAAGTAAACGTTGAAATCCGTGAAATGATATTGGAAGGTTGGATTCTAAAAGTGCGTGAGATGACTGAGGCTTTAGGCATCTCAACTGAGCTGGTACTTGCATATTTGGACATGAAAAAGGCCCTTTTGTTCACACACGACCATGTAACCGCTTCAAAAGAGTATCTGGCGATGTGCAACCGCAATCCAAACGAAGTTTTACACCATTTCGTTATCGCAAGCGAAACATAGATCCATCACAGAACAATCAACACAGTCAGAGGAACCCGGCTGGATGTGAACCGAGAAAGGTCAAGGTGGGTCTGTCGGCCCACAAGGTCATAGTCACAGTTGTTTTGAGGCGAACGAGGTATAATTACCGATTACCTTGAAAAGAGTAAAACGATAACCGGCGAACCGATTATATTTGGTGAAGAAAAGTGCGGTTTCATTAGAATAATGCACGGGTGCATACGTGAGCCCACGTATGACCATGCAAACATTTCTAAAATGAGTTGCGAGCAGCTTCTCCCGCCCGTGCGACTATTTTTTTTTTTTTGTTTTAAACCTGAAGGAATAGTTGAGCAGTAAGAGATTCGTGTAGAATGAAGATGTCTTCCCAGAAATAAAGTGCTACATTGAGAGCTGTGAAAAAAACCCCCATCATATTCCCCACTACAATCACATTACCTTTAACTTGCTGCACCGATGTCAATTTACGCTCCCACAGATCATCGAATGGCTGACCAGCTGATGGCTCAAAATCGGCCGTATATTGACGCATGCCGGCCGAGGTAGTGAAACAGCATTTACACATGCATGAATGATAACGTAGACGACCCTCGTCCAGATACGGATGCGCCAGAGCATCCGTCACGGTGATGCGCTTATCCTACGGGGAGAATCGAAAAAAGAAAATTAGAAAAAAAAAACAATGAATACCAAGTGATCACTCACCGGATCGAAGACAAGCATTTGACACAGCAGATGCACAGCTTCGTGCGTCGCATGCGAACTAAGCGTATACAATGCTGAAAATGATGGCAGTTTGGGTGCGCGACGTAACATATGTGAACGTGCGCCATCGCATGCATGCCGCATATCCTCCATGGAGGGTGTGCCCAACAGTTCTGTAATCAACTCCAGTTGCTGTACGGGATTCTGTGCCTGAAACAGTATGCGACGACCGAGTAATTCGCCAAAAATGCAACCAACTGACCAAACATCCACAGCGGATGAATAATGTCGAGCGCCCATTAAAATTTCCGGTGCGCGATAATATTGTGTTACAACCTCTTGTGTCATATGTTTAGCCTGATCGGGCTCTTCGACGCGCGCCAAACCGAAATCACATATTTTCAGCACACAATTTGAATTGACCAACAGATTGCCGGGTTTGATGTCACGATGGAGTATACGCGCCGAATGTAGATACTTGAGACCGCGTAATATTTGGTAGAGGAACACTTTAATGTGATCGGCGGAGAGATGTTGTGGTGAGACGATTATTTTATGGAGATCTGACTGTAGGAGTTCGGTTATCACATATCTGTATTTTGCGGTAGAGAGGTTAGGTAGAAGGAAAGTTTTTGGTGTAGTTGAGGAAAACCATCAGATGGTATGATAAAGATATTATATAAGAATATGTTTGAAAATATTATAAATATTTGAACTTAAGCAAATAGTTTAGAGAATTATACCAGCAACCTAGGCAAAAGGCAATAAAAATATTTTCTTTTGGAAAGTCATAATTTTAATAATTAATTCGATAAAGCTCTTAAAAAGGGGTGAGGGCGAAAGAGGGAAAAATAGATAGAAAGAGAGCGAGAGAAAGAAAGTGAGCCAGAGAGAAAGAGAGAGAGAGAGAGAAAGAGAGAGAAAGAGAGAGAAAGAGAGAGAGAAAGAGAGAGAGAAAGAGAGAGAGAAAGAGAGAGAGAAAGAGAGAGGGAGAGAGAGAGGGAGAGAGGGGGAGAGAGAGGGAGGGGGAGAGAGAGAGAGAGGGAGAGAGAGAGAGGAAGAGAGAGGGAGAAGACCTTGCAAATACCTCAATTTTTGGCAATCTTGTCCCTATTGTATGAGAGAGACATAAGGACATTATCTTCGAAAAGGTAAAAAGTTATTGAAAATATATAAATTTGATATAAATCGGATAATTCTGCCAATGGGGATAAATAATTTGCTTTTTCTTAATTATTTTAATATTATAATTTAAAAACAAAGTGCAATTAAATTATTATTATTCCAGTATTCTGACGTCAATTGCCCAGGGTGGTATACATATCCGATATACATACATACATACACGATTGCCTAAGAAAACTTGCCTTAATTTAGGGCATATGCAATTGCGCATCAAACTGTGCAAATACGGCAGAACAAAAAGAGAAAAAAAAGCAAACAAAGATTCAACAAAATGGCGAGCACCACACAATGAGAGTGAATAATACTGGGAAACTTTTTCAATTAAATTGGTTTGATTTTATCCATTTACTTTGATGTTGAGTAGAAGTAAAGTAAAGTATACTACTACGAGTACTCTTCTGTACAACTTTGAAATTTGAATGCTTGCATTCGCCTCTTAACAACACGGTAGCTCAAGTGGGAAAGAGCCTTGAGCTATAACCGCAAAATTGTTACAAAATTGGCTATAGAAAATTTAATTTCTCGATTATCATGCTCCGCACGCACACATACATTTAAAATCAATGACTTAAATAGACAGTCAGTCAGTCAGTGATTCAACATTTTTGACTTAATATACAATGGATTCTTCATAAATGGAAAAAAGAAACAGAAAAAATATCATTGTATTTTGCTAATTTCAACGAATTAATACAACAACATTAACGTTATAAAGACAACAACAAGAAAAAAGGCAAACAGATGTCACTCAACTCCTGTGCAGTCATTTGCTCGGTAACTTCATTGTCATCGTTCTTGGCTGCATCAATTTAATGCATTGCATTTTTTATGCCCCTAAAAGCAGGCAACACATTTCGTAGTGTCAGGAAGGTGTATAACAAAAGCTTCAAGCTGCCGCATCTGGCTGAGTGTGATGCTGCAGCTTATCTGTCGCATTGTCATAAAATTATTGTCTACCCACACTGCTAGAGAATGAGGGAGAGAAAGAGAGAGTGAGGTACAGGGAGAGGGAGAACGGATGTATAGTGGGTTTATAGTAAAACAAAGGCATTGGCAAAAACTTCTCGGTGAAAGAAACAGGAAAAAAGAAATGTTTAAAATACGACTGCCAAAACCGTATGCCAGCCGTAAAACTTTTAATGGTTCACAATTTCATTTCGCCATGAAAGTGGCAAACTGATTTTATACACCTATTAAATTTTCTTTTTTACCCTTTTTTTGTTGCAAGTTAAATCCATGAATGCTGGCTTTAGGGAATTGAGTGAAAAAATGTATATTAAATTAAGTTGTGCTGGTCTAAAGCATGGCTAGTTGATTAAAAAAACACTGAATATTTTACAATTGTAGTAGAGAGAGGTCCCACTTAACCCATTCAAGCCCAATGCGCCGAGAAAGTCTTAACATTTAAAAACGTTTAGGCAGCAATATAACGATCAAATTTTCTCGTTGTGACGCAAAGAATTGACTGCCGAAGCATATTGAACAACCAAAATCACTGGTTTAAAATTTTCACAGCTCAAAATATCACTTTTTGGGTTCGAAATAACGTGTGCGAAAGTTGCACCGTAGTAAAATGGTACCTTTTTGGCTAGTTTTAGAATTTTGTGCATTCACTCATTCATTTTTAGCTTTATAAATATAGAAAACTTTTTTACATTTTTGCCGAAAAAAAATTGTTTTGAAGTCATTAATTCTGAGCGCTCAAAAATTTGCTCAGAGTAAAATGTTAGCTAAGATTGACTGTAAAAAATGATATAAAAAATTAGGATTACACTAGTTTTCAACTAAATTATGAGCTGGTGCCAATATTTAAATCGGAATTTGCCTTTGAGCGATTTACGGCAGTTATGAAACGAGTTTGATTACTGTTTTTGGCTTTTTCATTTGTTCTTATCGTGATTACTCATACAAACTTTGTCGTCGTCCTTTAACTGTAGAATTTAATGATCATACGCATTCCCCTTTTACAGCTATTTTTCAAAGTTATTTTTACTTTCGTGTTGCATTGGTTTTGTCATAATATGGAATTTTTAGTTTTTTAATTTTTTTTCCTTTAGTTCGCTTTGCATGTAATTTATTATTTACATATTGTTTTGTATATTTCTTTTGATATTTTCTTTTTTATTTTTAAAAAATTACTGTTAATTTTTTATTTGTTTTGGTTTTTTGTATATTTATTTAAGATTGATTTTTTTATTTCTAATTCAAATTAATCTTTTATTTGTTTCTCATTAAATATTTATTTGTTATTAATTTTATTTCTTCATTTTAAATTTTAAATTTTAATATTTGAATATTTAATTTCATTTTTTCTTTAAATTTATTTTTCTTTATATTTCTATTTTTTCATTTTTATTTTTTACATTTTAATTGTTTTAATTTTTAATTTTTATTTTTATTTTTATTTTTGAAGCTAATTTTTACTATTTTAATCTATATTTTTATTAATATTTTTGTCTTTATTAATATTTATATCTTTATTAATATATCTATTTTTATTAATATTCATGTTTTTTTATTTTCAGTTTTTTATTTCATTATTTTTAATTTTTATTCTTTTCATGCATTTTTTATTTTTATTTTTTTAACTATAGATTTTGAACCCGCTGAAGCGTTTTTCGTCGAAATCCGACTCCAATGTGTGCTTTTGCGTCTGAATGTTTTTTCCAACAAATGGAGGGACCTACTGTTTATACTAAGCCGCCTCCGAACAGCTGATGGTTTTTTATGAAGAGCTTTATTTCATGTCAGAAATACATTGGTTTGACATTCCCTGCGAGGGGCGACCGCAATTAAAAAATTTAAATTAGTTTTTTATTTACATGCAATTTTTATAAGTTTTTGGAGGTTGTTCGCACGGGGTTTGAACCCGAGCCTTAAGAATTAAATTTTTGTGATCCTGTTTTTATTCATTTATTATTAATTCTACTTCTAATTTTTCCTTTTATTTATATGCTTTTATCTTCCTCTTTTAAGTTTTTAATTCTATTTTTTCATATTTAAATTATTCTATTTTTATATCTCTTTTCAAATTTATTTTTTATTTTTCATTTTACAAAATTTTATTTTTTATTTTTTACTTTTTATTTTTTTAAATTTAATTTTTATTTTAATTTTCTCAATATTTTCATTAACTTTTGATGAAATCTTTTTATTTTTATTATTTTTCTATTTTTGTTTATTTTTTATTTATTAATTTAATATTTCTATTATTTTGCTTTTTATTAATTTATTTTTATTGATTTAATTTTTTATTTTTATTTCTTAATTTCAATTTCTTTATTTTAGTTTTTACTTTTGTTTTTTTTTATTTTTTTATGTGATAATCTTTTGATGGCGCAAAGTTGGAAATAGGCTATAATCGCGTAAGCGGTGTCTACGCCAGTAAAGTAAGTAAGTAATATTTTCTTTTATTTTTATTCTTTTACTTTAATTTGACATTTACCTTTATTAAATTTTATTTTATTTTGAATATTTATTTAATGTTTTCATTTTTTGGTTTTTGCTTTTTTTATGTTTTATTTATTTTTGTTTTTAGCCAATTATTTTTATTTTTAACCGTTATTTTTATTTTATTTTTAATTTTTATATTAATTTTAATTATTATTTCAATTTTATATTTTTTTATTATTATCTATGCATTTCTTTTTCTATTTTGAATTTATTTATTTTTATCGTTTTACTTTTATTGCCGGTTTTCAAATTTTATTTTAAATTTTTTTATTTTTTTGCTTTTATAGTTTTTTTTATATTTGTTTTGCTATAATTTTATACCTCACATTTGTGCTTTTTTTATTTATTTTCAAAAGGATACATTTCTTGGAAGAAATCCAAATGAGGTGGTTGTAAAATGTCCAACGCTGAGAGTACCTGCAAATAGAAAGAGAAGAAAGAGTAAGATAAAATTATGTCATAACAAGCAGAAAGCTTAATTAAGTTTATGCAAAAAGTATGAATAAAAATCATTTGATCGTTAATTTTTCGCAATTATGATATGGTTAAAGGACATATTTGTTTGCGAATAGAAAAAAAGAGAGAAATCTGACATTACACTTTTTGACACAAAGCACCGCTTCAGGCGCTCATGAACTGTGTTTTAAATAAACAAAGTTATTACAATTAAAACACAAGAGAAATACAGCAGTATTGCGCTATTACGTAATTTCAAATTGCCTTTAAATTACAAAACAAAAAAAAAAAAATCAGCTGCACTTCAGCTAAATTTTTGCCAAAAATTGGCGGAATCACAGTTTAAATGCCCTCATTGGATGTAAATGCCAATCTCTGGAATTACTTTTTTATTTCCATTTAAATTTTTTAAATTTTTTACTTAAAATCAATACAAAACCGTTCTAAAACCTGACCTACTTTTTGATGATTTTTTTTTTTAATTTCAAGTCAAATTTTAGTACTAAGGCCATGTAATTTGATATTAAAAATAAGACAATAACAAATGTTTTAGTGGCAAACTTTTGCAAGCTTCAATTCGACGCGATGCGGGCGGCTCAAGCCCGAAAGCAATAAGCTAAAGGAGAGGTGGAATTACAACGGAGACATCAGAATTAAATACTCGTCAAATTTTATAAACTGTTCGCTTGGTAAATGTCAATAAAGTTCACTTTGCTTAATATTGCTTAAAAAGTCGCAGCGCGCTCACATAATTGCCGGCAATCAGCAACTGTTGGTATCTCTTCTTTGTTGGTGATGAAATGTATGCTTCTAGTTGGTAGCTGTTGGCTGTTGACAGTGGCCAAGAACCTTGTAACTCTCATTTTGATATTCGCGCGACTTTTGTCATAAAAATCACCCTTGAAGGCAGACAATCAGCAGTGGCAGCGCAGTACATAGAATGTTGCAATGTTGCAAATGGAATGTTTATTTCGGTTGTGGCAAATGGAAACCATGACAATTGCGCAAATGTGAATGTAATAAAGAGAAGGAAGAACGAAGAAAACCAACAAAAAAATTAAGATAAATTTTTTTCTATTCCAAACTAAAATTTAGTGGACAGCAGCATGAAAGAAAAAATAACTAAAACTGACTTACCAACAATAACAACTCAACCAAGTAGTAGAGTGACTACATTTTCAATCAAATATTGAAAATAGAAGTTGTTTTCGAAAATTCAACGTAATTAAAAGTGGAGAAGTTTAATGGTTATGATGTTGGTTTGACGAATCAGTGACCTTTTGAATAAATTATTTCAAAATAAATAAATTATTTTTTCGGCAAATATATGTACATAAAAATTGTCTGCTTTTAGCTACATTTATTCCAGTGTTTTTCCAATTTTGTGCTCTTTGCCAATAAAAGGTTTTTCCAAAGCCCCCAAAAGCGATAGTTGTTTCTGGAGTGACCTCCTCTTTCGACTCGAATCTCTTACAGCCCAGCCGTTCACATGGATGCCGTGATGGCCGTTATGGAACAGCATTTTTCTGTCGCCAAATACACTCGATTCTGCTTCATACCAATAACAAATCTGTCTCACGGCTCTGAATAATATTCTCAAGGTAATCGCCCTAAAACAATTATGGCTATGACCTTGCTGGCAGACAGACCCAACTTGATCTACTTTTGGTGCACGATCAGCCGAAGGAATCGACTGTCTCGACTGTTATTTGGCCGCTGGATCGGTGTGTTGGATCCAGTTTTCTCCTAGGGCAACGAAACGGCGTAAAAATTCGTTTCGGCTCAAAATGTATATGGGCGTCTATGTGAATGTTGAATCGGCACAAAGCAGAAGACCCACACCTCCCTCACGAAGTCAATTGTTAGAATCAACAATGAACTAACAATCTTAGTGAATGTGGGCGTTAAATATAGCTTCCAGCAGCGGCGCCAAAAACAGCAAGTTTTATACCGAACCAATCCATATCTACAATTAGACGATAATCGTTGCTGGGACCTCCTAAGGAGCCTGTTTGCTAAGCAGCAGATCTTGTTGGAGGCGGCGTGATTCTCATCTTGACACCGTTGTTAGAGTGACGCTGCTCGCTTAGAACGAATTTGATTAGCCATTAACTCCATCGGGAAGCTTGCAACCATTTGCCCATTGGTAAAGACATTTCCGGAGCTGTAAGACAAATCTAATGAAGAACTTATTCGCGGTGCTGTTGAAGACACATAATATCTTTTTCAGGGGTAGGATGGCAGTAATGTCGATGGAGTCTATTCACCAGATGCTGGCCAAACAAATTATGAGGCTGAGGACGAAATACTTTGGGACTTTATATGTAGTTATGGGAATGACCCAAGATTCTCATTTCTTGAAGCGCGCTAGGCCAGGCAGAGTTTGCATCTCCATCTCTACAGTCCAATTCAGAACTGTGGAATGTCAGGTGGCGATAGTGAAGGGATCTCCTCCTGTTTTTTTTAGAGAGATTTTTTTTGTTTTTGCTTTTGGCTAAATTATTTATCGAATCTTTTGAGAAAAAGTTTAAATAAAACCAACTGAAAGATCAAACCAGACGTTTTTTTTCTTGAAAAGAAACTCAATAGATATAGAGTTTTCAAATAAGAGGTGCTGTTTGGTATTCAAAGATAAATGTAATCTCTTTGAGATAAATAATGGGATATTTATTTCATGCCATTAATAATGGAAAACAATATCAGCTAAATGGCTACTCTTACAGGACCGTATCCTTTTTATGAAATTTTCCTTGACCAAATCGTAAAGTGGCTCAAAGGAAGGAGTTACAAGGTGTTAAATCGCAAGATCTCTGTTCCCAATTGCGATTACCTCTTTGAGAGATAATACGGTCCAGAAATGTTTACCTCAAAAGATAGACAGTTGGTTTACATTCTGAGAATGGAGAGGTTTTCCAACAATAAATCCGGGGTTTTCCGAACCCCAGTTACTACAGCTGCTTTGCTTATATACGTAGCCATCGAATTGGAAATGAGCTTTACCAAATAAGGTGATTTTTCGATGGAATTCCTGATCATGTTCATACATTTCAAGGACCTAAACAGCAGAGATACGACGTTGTAGATGATTGGCCTTCAACTCTTGTGTTAACTGAACTTTATAAGCTTTAAGACCCAAATCCTTATGAAAAATCAGGGTTTACTTCGGCTCCAGCAGCAATATTCTCATTGGTTCTTGAGCGACGTGCACGTGCCTTACAGAAATTGGTGGGAAAAGTAAAGCTGTTGAAACAAGCTAGTGATGTACATTACTAGCTTCACTATTTTCCACCAATTTCTGTTTTGCGGTCCGGCAAGTTGCTTCAGGGGACCGACCAGGTTTTAATATCATGAACTGGCTCTGCTAGGTTTTCATAATTTCTAGTTTTTACTTGGTCAAATGTCAAAAATTACAACTTCAAATAAGGGTTACCGGAATAACAGGTAATTCAAAATTACACCTCTTAATGGAAAATCCTTTATAATAAAATCTACAAAAATATTGCCACAAGCAGCAGCAAATCAAAATTATGCAGAGGGAACAACAGAAAATTGCAAACCTCGCTTGGGGTTTAGCCCAAACAACGCTGTTACGATATTCAGACTTTGATTTGAAAAGAAGTTTGATTTCAAACAAAAAAAAAAAAAATAAATAAAAAATTAAATGAAATAAAAATAGAAGAAGAAAAAACAATTGCATACAAAGTGCCAAACAGAGTGCTATCGGTGGCAATGGCAAACAGTAGCAATAACGGCAACCAACAACAATGCAGCGCCAGAAATGTTTAAAACAAAAACAATGGCAATAACCACCGTTTTAACCAACACAGTCAGACCTAGTCAGTCCAATTGTCTGCCTGTGAAGAGGCAAAGAACTTTTGGCAATTTTCATAACAATTGCTTGCCTGTATGTCTGTATGTATGTGTATAGAAGATAGCCGATGTGCTGCCAGCCAAACTGTCACTACAACAACTAGTTACAGCTACAACAACTCACAATGACGACAGCGAACAAACAATTCTTGGTACCCAAGGAGCAGCAGCAGCAGCGGCGAAAATTGCAACAACAAACAAGCTAAAGAACAATGAACTGCCAGCGCTGGCCACTGGTTGCCCGGCTGATGGCTGCAACAGTTTCAGTTTGCAGGAGTGCTAACGGTGTTGGTTGGCGATTTCATTTTTCGTCAACTTTTGCTACAGTCCATTCATTTGATTTTACTTTTATTTGCGTTATTTTATTTTGTCATTTAACTGAGTTTGAAGTGGAGTAGCAGTATTTTTTCGAAGAAGCCTTTAAATTTTTAATATTTAAAAAAAAAATAAAATAAAAAAAATAAAAAAAAAAAAATAAAAAAAAATTAAAAAAATAAAAAAATAAAAAAAAATAATTTTTTTTTTGAAGCTTGGCATTTAAGATCTTTTTCTTTCATTTTCAAAAAAACGAAATTGTGATCTTTAACAAAAAATCCAACCGGATAATCCCTAGTTAGGCTAAGTTATACTATGCCTGAGATACTTTTAAGGAGTTACATGAACAGAACTAAGTCTCTACATCTTCTAAACCGGACCTCCATAAGCATAACAACCGATGTAATAACCGAACAACTGTGTCTTATGGGGACTCGCGGTTGAAGGATGGATTGCTGCTCAAATGTCTTCCGCCGCAGCTGTAGGGACATGGATAAGGAGAAATCGGTGTCATTGCTGAGGCCAAGTGCGTACGTTATCTTTTACCCGAAAATTTCTTCTTCAATTACCTTGGAGAGCTTGCATCTGCAGGCATTATTAGTCTACTGAATTTCTTAAAACACTCCGAGTTGTTTGAGCATTTGGAAGGAATAGCAAAGGAATCTCCTTAGCAAGACCTACATGGGTATCTCAACGAGCTAGTAGCGCTTAATCAGAGTTAAGTGATTAATTAAACTGTTAAACTAACTAACTTACTAAGGCGTCACATGGGTTTA